GTAAAAATACTACGTTTCCTTCTGAAGTCGCAGGCCTGGGAACGGTGCAGTTTCAAGAGTGAGGGAGGGGTTGGTCCCAAATAGGCTTGGTCTCCGTCCTCCCCGGGGGGCTGAATTTCTGATGAAACTGGAGTAGGAGCTGAAACTCCGCTCAAGGGAGGGATGAGCCTTTGGCCCATGCTCAGAGTCACTCTTGGGGCTGTGGTGGCTCAGAGCTTAAGACGCTGAGTTGCAGACCGGAAGGAAGGTCGGTAGCTCGGCAGTTCGAGACCCGAGTGCTCCACGACGGAGTGAGCTCCCGTCTCTGGCCCCAGCTCCTGCCAACCTAGCAGTTCGAAAGCAAGGAACTGCAAGTAGATAAATAGGTACTGCTTTGGTGGGATGGTAACAGCATTCCGTGCACCTCGGTGTTTAGTCATGCCGGCCACATGACCACAGAAACATCTTCAGACAGCGCTGGCTCTTCGGCTTGGAAACTGAGATGAGGACCCCCCCTAGAGTCGGATCCGACTGGCTTTCGAGCAAGGGAAACCTTTACCTTTTACCTTTACAGAGGCGCTCTGCCTTCAGGATGACTTCATGTTTCCCCGGCCCAAGTCCTGGCGTTCAAAATAGGTTCCGGGGGGCGTCACTGAGCGTGCCCCCCCCCGTCCTACACTTCTGCCTCAATTCAGTGCCAGAGGACAGGGAAGGGTGTGTGTGGGGGGAGCAGGAAATGTCCTCATGCGAGCAGGTGTTTCCTTGCCACCCCATGCGCAGTGTCTGCTGGAGAGGTAACAATGTAAGGAAGTTGCAGAGAAAACAATGCGGCCCAAGGCTTGGCCTTCTTGGGCAGGGTGAGGCACAGGCAGTCTGTGGGTGTGCTGGGGGGGGGAGATCCCTGGGGTCTGCCAACTGTGCCAGAGAAAGGGGGGCTGCTGGAGAAAGCACCCCGAGGGGTCCAGCCCCTAATCTGGAATGGGGTGAAGAGAGAAGGCCCAATGCCGGAGAGGACCGGGGGTGGTGGTGGTGGTGTCAGTCTTCCTGAGTGGCCCGACCATCCCTTTTCCTGAGAGGCCTATAAATACACACACACACACCCCAGCTGAGCTAGGCTTCCAGGGGAAGGAAGGAGGTGAGCCACATCATTTCCTCTCCAGTTTGCCCCAAAGTTATAAAGGACCCTCCCCGGCCAGGTTGCGGCTGAGGCTGGTTCTCAGAGCGCCGGGACTCCTGGAGGGCCGGGGGGTGCAGCTGGATCTCTGCCCCCCTGCCCACCACCGGCCCCTGCTGGCAGGAACCCGGCGTGCCCCACGGCAGTCCCTGCGGGCCAGGGGTGAGTGCTCAGGGCCGAGTGCCTTGGCGGGTGTGAACGTCGCTGCAGTGGGCAGGCTGGTTTTCAACGGGGTCTCCGGGAGCAGGGTGGGAAAGGGGGCTGCGTCAGGGTCTCTGGGGAGGGGAGGCGCTCAGTGGCGGACAGTGTTCCCTCTAAGCTGAGCGAGTGTGAGCCAGCTCGCAGCTGTTTAGCCTCCGGCTCACACATTTCTGTCTTCGCACAGGAAGGATGTGGCTCCAAAGCAAGCTGATTTATGCAGCAGCCAAATCGCTCGGCTCACAACTTTAATGCCAGTAGCTCACAAAGTAGAATTTTTGCTCACAAGGCTCCACGGCTTAGCGGGAGCATTGGTGGTGGAGCCTCTGCTTGGCATGCAGAAGGTCCCGGGTTCCAGTCCTGGCATCTCCAGTCGAGAAGGAGGTGATGGGAAATGACCTTTCTTTGCCCGAGACCCTGGAAAGCCGCTGATTGTGTAGCCAGTACTGACCTTGATGGACCAAGGGGCTGATTCTTTATAAAGCAGCTTCAGGGGACAGACTGTGGCTCAGTGGCAGAGCATCTACTTGATGCGCAGAAGGTCCCTGGTTCAATCCCTGGCATCTCCACTTAAGAAAGGGCCAGACAGGAGGTGATGGGAAAGACCTCCGCCTGAGACTCTGTAGAGCGGCTGCCAACCTGAGTAGACAATACCGATCTTGATGGACCCAGGGTCTGATTCAGTGGAAGGCAGCTTCGGGTGTTCAAGTATTTCTAGAAGTCAAGAGACGGGCTTTTGAGGGGAGGGGAGGGGACTAGTGGACTTCCCTTCTTCACACCCCACCCATGCAGTGTTCCCTCTAAGCTGAGTTTGTGTGAGCTAGCTCACACTTTTTTAGCCTCCGGCTCACACCTTTTTGCCTTAGCTCAGGAAGGATGGCTCCGGAGCAAACTGATTGATGCAGCAGCCAAATTGCTCGCTCACAACTTTAATGCCGGTAGCTCACAAAGTAGGATTTTTGCTCACAAGACTACACAGTTTAGAGGGAGCATAGCTCCCTGTATTCCTAACCCTTTCACCTAAAACCCCACAACAATTTCAGATGAACTCTTGCTAAAAACTTGTTTTACATTCCCTAGAAGCCAGTCTGAGCCAGTTTGGTGTAGTTGGTTAAGTGCGCGGACTCTAATCTGGGAGAACCAGGTTTGATTCCCCACCCCTCCACTTGCACCTGGCTGGATGACCTTGGGCAAGCCGTAGTTCTGTGAGAGCTGTTCTTGAAAAAGAGCAGTTTCTGTCAGAGCTCTCTCAGCCCCACCGACCTCCCAGGATGTCTGTTGTGGGGAGGGGAAGGGGAAGGGAAAGGAGTTTGTAAGCCGCTCTGAGACTCCTTAACGTAGTGAAGGGCGGGGTATAAATTCAATCTCCTCCTCCTCCTCCTCTTCTTCTGCCAGTTTGATGTAGTTGGTTAAGTGGGCGGACTCTAATCTGGGAGAACCGGGTTTGATTCCCCACTCCTCCACTTGGAGCTGCTGGATGACCTTGGGCAAGCCACAGTTCTGTCAGAGGTGTTCTTGAAAGCTTTTGTCAGAGCTCTCTCAGCCCCACCCGCCTCACAGGGTGTCTGTTCGGAAGGAGACTGTAAGTGACTCTGAGACACCTTTGGGTAGTGAAGGGCGAGGTATAAATCCAATCTCTTCTTCTTCTCTAAAGTCTGCCTGATTTTTTTTTTAAAGGCCTGGAATACGTTTTTATATGTCATTGTGTCCCTGGTACTTGTTTGGGGCCCGCTATTGTTTATTCCTAAATGGATTTCATTCTGGATTCTGTCAGCTGCCTATAACTAAAAAGGCAGGGCATGAATGTTCTGGGAAATAAAACAGGAGGATACCTAGGCCCGTGTCTCGGCTGGGCTCCAAAAATCCCAGACCCGAAGGAGGGAGACCCAGATGGGTGGCCCTGTTAGTCTGTCTGTAGAAGTGAAAAGAGTCAGAGTCCAGTAACAGAACTGTTGGCAGGGGAGGAGCTTTCGTGAGTCACTGCTCACTTCTTCGGATACCTTCGGTATCCGAAGAAGCGAGCCATGACTCACGAAAGCTCCTCCCCTGCCCTGCCACCAATTTTGTCAGAACAATGTCTGAGTCCAGTGGCACCTTTAAGACCAACAAAGTTTAAGCTTCTCTGTGTGTGTGTGCACACTTCATCAGAATATAGTCTTTCAGGGGCTCCTGGACAGTGTTCCCTCTAAGGTGAGTTAGTGTGTGCTAGCTCACAGTTCTTTAGCCTACGGCTCACGTATTTTTGTCTCGGCTCAGGAAGGACAGGGCTCCAGAGCAAAATGACTTACGCAAGTAGCCAGATCGCCCGCTCACGGTTTTAATGCCAGTCGCTCACCGTAGAATTTTTGCTCACAGGACCCCACATCTTAGTGGGAGCATTGCTCCTGGACGCTGGCTCTTTCCGAAGGAGGGACTTTGGGGATGCTTCTTGACATGCCATGCAGCCTGCCCTAGGCTTTCCAAAAGTCTCACATGCAGATGGTCTGATTTGAAAGAGATCCAGATGGGCTATAGCAAGACAGACAGCCGGTTGGGAGGCCGGGTTTTTTAATCCGGGGGCTGCTGGGTTTTAGGAATTCCTGGGGTCTTTTAGTTAGCTCCCGGGGGGGGGGGGGTGGAGTTTTAGTTAGCTGGGAGGGGGGTTGATGCACAAATCCATGCCTGCATGACCCCTTAGCCGAACTGGAAACACACAGTCGGAGTCCAAGGAGTTAGATGACTATCTCTTTAATGCATTGAAAACAAGGGATACAGGGCTGAGCGCCTTAGCACCTCAGCAATTCCAAGGCTGTATTCTGCCATAACCAAGAAGGGCAGAAGGTCTCATACCCCAAATGACATCACACATAGTTTACACATTAAAGGGTTTCTAATTGGTACCAAGCAGTTAACATCATACAAGCATCATTTGACTCAGTGCATCTCTCAGTGGAGTCAGTAATTACACTTGTTTACTTTATCTTCATGGAGCTGCGGTGGCTCAAGTGGTTAAGGCGCTGAACTGCAGGCTGTGGAAGGTCGGTAGTTCAGCAGTTCGAGACCCGAGTGTGCCGCATGACGGAGTGAGCTCCTGTCTCTGGTTCCAGCTCCTGCCAACCTAGCAGTTAGAAAGCAAGAAATTGCAAGTAGATAAATAGGTACCACTTCAGTGGGAAGGTAACAGCGTTCCGTGCGCCTTGGTGTTTAGTCATGCTGGCCACATGACCACGGAAATGTCTTCGGACAGCGCTGGCTCTTCGGCTTTGAAACGGAGATGAGCACCGCAACCCTAGAGTCGGATTCGACTGGCTTTCGAGCAAGGGAACCTTTACCTTTACTTTTTACCTTGTCTTCAGAACACTGGGAACATTAGAGAACACTGGGTCCCTTCCTGGGCTCGCATGTGGAGAGCTAGTTGATAAGGGCTGTGAATCACATTACACTTCGCTCTCGGCGGCCTTGCAACTTCTAAATAGCATTCCATTCTTATTGCATCCTAATTCCTTTTACAGAGGCTTCTTGTGCACAGAAGTGCAGATATAAAATATATGTTCCGCTATAAGTTTCTCTAATCAAAAGATTCTAGGTTATATACCAAAATCTGGATCTATTATGATTAAACGTTTTAAGGCACCATGACAGCTGTCATTATACATCAAGGAGAGAGTGTCAGACATCACGCTCAGGAATCACATTCTTTCCCCCTTGTCCTACAGGGTGGGGTGGGTGGGTGGAGGAACCCTGGAAGATGCCCAGAGCCGGGTGGCATCTCCGGAAGAGGACTCCCTTCCCTTCCCGACTCATCATCACGCCCCCTCTCCTCTCCCACAGGCAGCATGGCCGCCCCAGGCCACCCCAGCTATGTGCGAGAATTCACGCGTCACTCCAGCGATGTCATCGATGTGCTCCTGAACCTCGACGAGTTGCGCAGGCGCCACGTGCTCACCGACGTCACCTTGCGGGTGGGGGGACGCCCCCTGCAGGCCCACAAGGCGGTGCTCACCGCCTGCAGGTGAGCGCCTCGCTACCACCTGGGTGCCCACGTGCTCAGTGTGGCCGCCAGAGAGTTCGGAAGGCTACTGAGCCCACCGGGAGGTTGGTGGCCAGTTGAGGTCGCTGCGGGGGGGGGACTGCCTGGAGATTTGGGGGTGGAGCCTGGGAAAGGTGGGGTAGGGGAAGGGGAGCGGAAGGGCCTCGCAACGGGAAGAAATGCCCTCAAGCACACTCTCCGAAGCAGTGGTTTTTCTCCAGGGCAGCTGATCTTCTGCAACCCGGGGAGGGGTGTGTGTGTCCAGGCACCACCAGGAGGTTGCAAACCAAAGAGAGAGATCACGGGATGGAAGTTGAGAAGAAGCAAAACAAACAAACACAGACCTGTACATTCTTTTCCCAGTATTCAGTTTACTCAGGGCTATTTTGGGGCAGGAACGCACAGGAACGGAGTTCCGGCTGGCTTCAGAGTTGGCCATGCCTACTACGGCCAAAGCCTCTGCAAGCCAAGGGAAGGCATGGGGTGTGGCCTAATATGCTAATGAGTTCCTGCTGTTGGGTGTGGCCTATTATGCTAATGAGTCCCTGCTGGACTTTTTCTACAAAAAAGACCCTGAGTTTACTGGAAGCAATTCAAAGGCCATCGACACCAACGAACCACTGGAGGATGCAAACCAAAGAGAGAGATCATGGAATGGAGGTAGAAAGGAAACAAAACAACTGTGATGTATCGTGCCAAAAAAAAGTCTTCACAGACTTGAAAATTCTATCCCCAATATTCAGCTTACTGAAAGCAATTCAAACGCCATCAACACCATGCATATGACATCTCGTTTCGTGTATAACTTTATCAAAGCGGGTAGCGTTGAAATACCTATACAATATTAATCAGGGGTCATTTCGTAGAAAAAGAGGTGCAGGAGCTCATTAGCATAACTCATTAGCATAACTTGCTTGCATAGGCCACACCCCCTGACATCACCGGAAGTGTGTCAGAAGGCAACACCCACCGCTCAGGCTCCACTGGACTGTTTTGGATTGCTAGCTATTGGGGAGATCTGTCCTCGCAGAGGAGGGAGAGCTTGTACCTGAATAAAACTTGATCTTAAAGGTGCCACTGGACTGTTTTGGATTGCTAGCTATGTGGGGGGGCTCTGCAACTTACCGGGCTGCTTCTTGCTCTGACTGAGGGCTGCTGGGAGCAGGGGGCGGGGCTTGTTTCATGTGCCCGCCCCCTGGCCTCTTTACTGCCAGAGCTCCGCTCCTGTGCGCTCCTGCAGGAAATGACCCCTGGCTCTTCACAGACTTGTAAATTCTTTTTTCAGTATTCAGTTTACTGGAAGCAATTCAAACACCATCGAACGACGCATATGACATCTCGTTTCGTGTATAACTTTATCAAAGTGGGTAGTGTTGAAATACCTATATAATATGAATCCATTTTGCAAACGCTCTACTCATATCCCATAGTAACACTCATCAGATCCGGGGTCTTAGGAATATTGGGAAAAGAAATGTCTAGTCCTTGGAGACCTTTTAGGCATAATACATCACGGTTGTTTGCTTTTTCTCAACCACCAGGAGGTTGGCACCCGGCAGCCCCCAGAGGACCCCTTGTGTGTGGCCAGTTCACAGCAAGAGTGCCAACCTTGGGTGAAACCTTTTCCTGGCGGGGGCCCAGGAAGCTGAGTCGGGGATCTGTGGGGGAGCGGGCTTCCCTCGGAGCCCCCACGTGGCTCAGACATGCCTGTTCCGTGGCCCAGAGCAACCCTACAGGAAGCACGCCTGGAGTTCTTCGCCTGGAGCTCTTACGAGAAATTCCACAGGGCTCCTTCCAGAAACAAACCCACCAAGCCCCCCCCCCCCGACTCCAGCACTGGGGCCGAAGCCGCGGGCCTCTCAGCAGCAAGCTGTGGGTCGCTGCCTTCTGCAGCTGTTATGGGGAGCCGCCTCGGACCGCGAGGAAAGGTGGGAGAGAAACATTTTTAATCAGTCACGTGCAGTGTTCCCTCTAAGCTGAGTTAGTGTGAGCTAGCTCAGAGTTTGTTAGCCTCGGGCTCACATGTTTTTGTCTTAGCTCAGGAAGGAGGGCTTCAGAGCAGACTAATTAATGCAGCAGCCAAAATGCTTGCTCCCAGCTTTAATGCCAGTAGCTCACAAAGTAGAATTTTTGCTCACAAGACTCCACAGCTTAGAGGGAACATTGGTCACGTGTACGTAAATCACGGGAGAGAGGGGAAGGGGAGAGAAACCCCGGGCCTGGCCACCAAGGAGAGGGAGGAACAGGCCCGTAGCCAGGTTTTTTTTTAATTCAGGGGGTCCTTAAAAGAAGTTGGGGGGCACCCCACATACCCCCCCCCAAGGGAGCAGCACAAATAAAATAAAAAAATTGGAAGTTGGGGAACCTGGGCTGGATGGGAAGTCAGGGGGCCGCGGAAGTAAGTCAGGGGGCCAGGCCCTGAGATGCCCCGCTGTTGCTACGGGCCTGGGGAGGAGGGAAGGGATTTGGGGAAGGGACGTCCTGGAGGGACTCTAGAACCGCCACCCATCGCCGGTGTGGTGGAGCGGATAAAGGGGCAGGCTAAGAACTCCATGTGTGGATGCCCACCACTGCCACGGAAGCTCTATGGGTGATCTCGGGCCCCTCACAAATGCTCACCATGGCCTACCTCACAAGATTGTTGTGCCAAGGAAACAGAGGAGAGGAGAACCATTCTCTAAGCCGCTTGGAGTTCCTGAGTGGGGGGGGGTAGAGAGAAGCGGGAGATAAATAGACGCGGTTGCGTGTCAGTGGGAACGCATCATGCTCCGGAATGTCTCCTCCTCCTCCTCTCCGGGAGATGTCTGGTCTTTCCGGGTTTTGAAACGGTCTCCCTCGGCTTTCCAGCGGCTTCTTCTACTCCATCTTCCTGGGCCAGGGGGGCCACGAGGTGAGCGTTCTCACCCTGCCCAGCTCCATCGAGCCTGCTGGATTCCAGGCACTCCTCGACTTCATGTACACCTCCCGCCTGCTCCTCACCCCGGGCACCGTGCCCGCCGTCCTGGCAGCCGCCTCCTACCTGCAGATGGAACACGTGGTAGAAAGCTGCCATCGCTTCATCCAAGCCAGGTACAGTCAGACGGGGAGAGGTCGGATCTCGGGGCCTTGTCCATGCACTGCCCCCACCACCAGCAAGAAAGAAGCCGAGGCTCCTGAGGTTGAACCAGATTCTAGTTGGAACGCCTCCCCATTCATTAGGGGTCTCCTTAGAGACATGGGGGGGACAGATATCTCCAGTTAAACAGAAATGTGAGAGACCTCTTTGTCTGAGTGCCTGGAAAGCTACTGCCAGACTGAGTAGACAAGGTCAGTGTTCCCTCTAAGCCGAGTTGGTGTGAGCTAGCTCACAGTTTTTTAGCCTTCGGCTCACACGTTTTTGCCTTAGCTCAGGAAGGAGCGCTCCAGAGCAAACTGAATTATGCAGTAGCCAAATCACAACTTTAATGCCAGTAGCTCACAAAGCAGAATTCTTGCTCACAGGACTCCACACAAGTGTTCCCTCTAAGCCGAGTTGGTGTGAGCTAGCTCATGGTTTTTTAGCCTCCGGCTCACACATTTTTGTCTTAGGTCAGGGAGGATGTGGCTCCAGGGCAAACTAATTTACGCAGTAGCCAAATCGCTCGCTCTCAACTTTAATACCAGTTGCTCACAAAGCAGAATTCTTGCTCACAGGACTCCACACCAGTGTTCCCTCTAAGCCGAGTTGGTGTGAGCGAGCTCACAATTTCTTAGCCTCCGGCTCACACATTTTTGCCTTAGCTCAGGAAGAATGGGGCTCCAGAGCAGACTAATTTACACAGTAGCCAGATCACTTGCTCACCACTTTAAATACCGGTAGCTCCCAAAGTAGAATTTTTGCTTACAGGACTCCTCAGCTTAGAGGGAGCCTTGGGCAAGACTGACCCGGATGAACCAGGGGTCTGATTCAGTAGGAGGCGCCTTAATGTAAGGAGGGACTGTGGCTCAGTGGCAGAGCGTCCACTGAGCATGCAGGAAGTCCCAAGTTCAGACTCCGGCATCTCCAATTTAAAAAGGACCAGTCCAGGGGTCATTTCGTAGAAAAAGAGGTGCAGGAACTCATTAGCATAACTCATTAGCATAACTTATTTGCATAGGCCACACCCCCTGACATCACCGGAAGTGTGTCGGAAGGCAACACCCACTGCTCAGGCTCCACCGGACTGTTTTGGATTGCTAGCTATTGGGGGGGGGGGGAACACGCAGATCTGTCCTCACAGAGGAGGGAGAGCTTGTACCTGAATAAAACTTGGTCTTAAAGGTGCCACTGGACTGTTTTGGACCGGGGGGTTCTGCAACTTACCTGGCTGCTTCTTGCTCTGACTGAGGGCTGCTGGGAGCAGGGGGCGGGGCTTGTTGCATGTGCCCGCCCCCTGGGCTCTTTACTGCCGGAGCTCCGCTCCTGTGCGCTCCTGCAGGAAATGACCCCGGACCAGTCAACAGGTGATGGGAAAGACCTCAAAATGGGACGCTGGAGAGCTGCTGCGAGTCTGAGTGGACAAGACCGATGGACCACGGATCGGTTTGGGGTGGGGCTGTGGCTTAGCAGCAGAGCATCTGCAAGGCATGCAGGAGGTCCCGAGGGCAATCCCTGGCATCTCCAGTTAAGGATGGGACAGACCCCCCGCCCTGAGGCCCCCAGAGAGCGGCTGCCAGTCTGAGTAGACAATACTGGCCTTGCTGGACCCAGGGTTGTCTGATTCGGTAGGAGGCGGCTTCCCATGTCCAGATGACTGGCTGCTAGGCAGAGGTGCCCAGAAGCACCATTCTCTGCCTGGGGTCCGGGGGGAACCCCTGCTGGTCAAAACTGGGCTATCGGAAACTGGGCATGGCGGCTTCCGCTGTGCATTTCGGTACACACAACACGTGGTGAAGTGCGCGGACTCTAATCTGGGAGGACCGGGTTTGGTTCTCCACTCCTCCACTTGCACCTGCTGGATGACCCTGGGCAAGCCCTAGTTCTCTCAGAGCTGTCCTTGAAAAAGAGCCGTTTCTGTCAGAGCTCTCTCAGCCCCACCTACCTCGCAGGGTGTCCTGTTGTAGGGAGGGAAAGGAGTTTGTAAGCCGCGCTGAGACTCCTTTGGGTAGTGAAGGGCGGGGTATCAATCCAATCTCTTCTTCTTTGTCTTCACTCCTCCACTTGCACCTGGCTGGATGGCCTTGGGCAAGCCGTAGTTCTGATAAGAGCTGTCCTTGAGAAAGAGCAGTTTCCGTCAGACCTCTCTGAACCCCACCTACCTCACAAGGGTGTCTGTTGTGGGGAGGGGAAGGGAAAGGAGTCTGTAAACCGCTCTGAGACTCCGAGTGAAGGGCAGGGTATAAATGTAATCTCCTCCTCCTCCTCCTCCTCCTCTTCCTCTTCTTCCTCTTCTTCTTCTTCTTTTTCTTTTTCTTCTTTTTCTTCTTTTTTTTCTTTTTCTTCTTTTTCTTCTTCTTCTTCCTCTTCTTCTTCTTGTCCCCCCTGCAGCTACGACCGCGTGCCCTTCCTCTTAGCTCCCCCGGCTCCCAGCTTCCTCCCCCTGGGCAACGAAGAGGTCTCCGCCGCTGCTGCTGCAGTGCAGTTCCTGAGCCCGGTGCCAGGCCCGCCGTCCGACCCCTGCTTCCCCCCCAAGGACAAAGAGCCGGGCTCGGGGCTGTCCTCTCTGGGAGCTGCGGGTCAGTCTCCTCCCGGCCGACCGGCCTCCCCCCACGGGTCCAGCCGCTGCGTCCCCGCCACCCCCGACCCCAAAGCCTGCAACTGGAAGAAGTACCGCTTCATCGTGCTGAACTCCCTGCAGCGAGACTCGGCCGGTGGCCTCCCGGACTCCCCGGGGGGCCCAGCTCCACGCAGGTGAGAAGCCGGGGCTGAGCCCCCCCCTGCACCTCTCCCCTGGGAACCAGGAGGCCGGGTTGAGCCTGAGGGGAGGCTTGGAACGGCCCCGGAGACCCAGGACTCAACCCTGGGGCGTGAGAGGCAAAGCATAAAGAACCGTGCCCCTGAGCATGTGCAGAGTGCCACGCCTCACCAGCGCCTTGTCTGCCCACCCAGTAAGGCAGCCTGGAACTGCAGCCCAAAGACGGTGAGCCGGCAGTTCTGGGTCCTTTCCCCGAGTTGGTGGTGGTGGTGGTGGGGCAGTCCTGGGCCTGTCCTCAGGTCCACGGGGTGGGGTCTGCGCCTGGTCTCGACACCTGCGAAACAGGAGGGCCGTCCCCTTTCCTCCCTGGCTTGGCCTCTGATGGAACGGCAAGGAAGCCGGCACTTAAACAGGAGCGGCTTTCCTGGCGCTGAGCTGCACCTGTTGCATTCCGGCCTGCTTAAGGCAGAGGGGTGGGGCTGTAGCCAGCAGGGCCGGCGTCTCACCCCCCCCTCCCTCGTGTCCCCAGGATGCCTCCAGCACAGACCCGTCGCTGCCCCATCTGTGACCAGCCACCCCCGCTGCTCTGCTCCCATTCTCGAGAAGATGTTTCTGGGGGGGCGGCAGAAGCCTTCGGGATAGGTGAGTGGGGGGGGGTGTCGAATGACTTAGAGCATGGTGTCAAACTCATTTGTTACGAGGGCCGGATCTGACATAAATGAGACCTTGTCGGGCCGGGCCAAGTGTGTCATAAAACGTAACGCCAAGGAGCGGAGATGTAAACTTTATAAAGGAAAACACAAAGATTTGGGTTTTTTGCTTAAAATAAAAACATGCTTAAAACATTAGCTCTGTACGCTGCAAGCCGACTTTTGATTTATTGACATTCGCCACAGAAATCTCATGCTCAGAGTGTAGGACCCAGGTGGAAAATATGAAATGGCCGAGTGATTAAGAGAGTCTGGCGAAGCAAGCGATGATGCAGCAGCAGCAGCAGCAGCAGAACTGGAAGCAGGAGAGGGCCAGTTCCACTGCGAGCCTGATGGAAGCCCTCCGGGGGCCTGGTCCGGCCCCCCGGGCCGCATGTTTGACACCCCAGTCTTAGAGAGATGCAAAAATGGTTTGTGCAGTCAAAGAGTTAAAAAGAACACTCCTGGGGGATGGTTAATCATGTTCTTCTGGAGTCTTGAAGTGTTGATTGGGCTGGAGACCTCCTTGTTGGGGATCCTATAGCTGCAGTTCCTGCTTCTGTGGCAGGGAGTTGGGCTAGATGACCCTGGTGGTTCCCTTCCAGACGGCTCGATGGCCCTCTGACAGCACTGCTGATTCTGTGGACTTAGGCAGAACATGAGAAGGAGGGGAGGCAGGGTTGCATCCAGCATTCCCTCTAAGCTGAGTTAGTGCGAGCTAGCTCACAGTTTTTTAGCCTCCGGCTCAGACCTTTTTGTCTTTGCTCAGGGGAAGGACGGCTCCAAACTAATTTGTGCAGCAGCCAAATCGCTCGCTCACAACTTGAATGCCAGGAGCTCACAAAGTCGGATTTTTGCTCACAAGACTCCACAGCTTAGAGGGAACATTGGAACTTGCATCAGTGCCTGCTTGTCCTGGCCCTTCCTTAGGCGCCCAGGGAAATGCTGATTGCCACTTAGGGGTCCATGGGGCCGCGTGGAACAGTGGCCACGGGGGGGGGGGGGGATG